TCTATTCTTTTTCCTCTTCCAACCTGATTACTTTAGAAATTAAAACTGCGTAGAGAAGCACTTTTCCCTAAATCTTAGAAAGTACAACATTTTAAAATATTTATCCTTCTATGAAATTATTTAAAGGAAAATTAAATTCCGACTGAAGACGCTATTATATTTTATATGTTCTCCAAACCTTAAGTTTTAGTATATATCACTAGTAAGATCCTCAGTAAGAGAAAATAATTTGAATAAAACTATAGTGGTTTTCATTGTTTATTCAAAAATAGATCTTGAATTCTACAATATACAAAAAAAAATCATCTCCATCTACAGAAGCTCACGTTTTATATTTTGTGCATTTTTATTCTTCATTCTAATTTTTCATTCTTTAATGAGCATGTTTCCAATTAAATCAGATCTGTATTTCTTCTATTTTAGGATAATCTGACCATAAATATCAAGTATTAGTCTCAACTACTTGCCCAAAGAGAACTGCAAAATACATTAAATTATATCTCCATAGCACTAGTACTTTGACAAAAATGAAAACTCCACACAGGCATGTTAAAAATGTAAACTACTAGAATACCAGGATTTTACCAGGAATAAGATTTCGGATTTGGAAGATACACACCTTCTATATAACAAAATCTCCTGTCTCAGTTTTCAAATTACAAAATCCTACGCATGACCACAGAACATGTAACACAAACTGATAGTGGAAAAAAAAAGTATACTACAAAGGTTTATGTGCAAAATATTTTGGAATATGCCCTGATTTGCTTTTAAAAAAGAGTAGCGGAAAAAAAAAAAAAAAAAAAAGGACAGCTTCCAGTGATAAGGGATCTAATCCAGACAACAAAGATGTCAATGGGAATCTTCCCGTTGTTTGTAGCGAGATTTAAATTTGCCGCTGTTTTAGAAAAGGGGAATTACATTCAGAGCAAAATACCTCTGTACATCTGTATGTGTCTGTGCGCACATGTGTGTGTGCGTGTTTGTGGGTGGGTGACGGATGGGGAATGTGTGTGTATATATATGAATGCACAATCATGCATATATAAACACACATTGTTATCATTATTAAGTATAAAAGGGTTAGCAAGCAGCACAAGCAAAATGGCTCTGCCTTTCAGACAAGGCGAGTTTACTATCATCGGGGTTTTGGTTTCTTATACTACCACATACACTTTCATAAATATTGCTGACAAAGTTAATATGCAAGAAAGGAACATTTTTCTTACTCCGATTGAAGATGCAATAATCAAACCATAAAACACAAAACCAATAGCCAATCAATGTGAATAAGTCTGCCCATAGGCTTAATTCAAGCAAGCCATTCACTGAGCTATGTGATGGATCTGTCAAATCCAATACAGCATTACAGACATACTTGCAACATCAAGTGAACATGCAATGACAAAATGACAATAGGCCCCACTGCCATGCTTTGACTTGTTCTGCCTCACAAATATAAAAACTTGATGACTTTGCTAGTTTCCCTTACTTGAGACTTGGACAGAAATCTAACAACTATATTTTTATTTATATTTTTAAAAATATTACAAGAAAGCTGAATAAAAGCTGTACAAACATTTTACTGACATCTGATTTAGCCTCTTTTGCACATTCTTACAATTATTTTTTCCAAACACTCTCGGTTTGGCAGGCAAAGCTCCAGAACAGTGAAGAACATGTACAGACTAGAAGATCCCCTTTTATCTATTATAAGAATTGGAAAAGTTATCAGAAATATTTTAAATATTGGAAAGTTAAACATGATTTTTTTGATCCACTTCTGCAAAGAGCTTCAAATCATTGTGCAATTTAGTATGATGATAGATCACACAGTATAAAAATCAAATCTAAATATTTTTCACTTATTAGATTGCTTCATAAATAAAACAAATGTAACTTTTTGTTTGTTTGGTTTGGTTTTTTTGTTTTACAATCATAAGAAATGACTGGAGAAATCTGCAAGGTCTACCTCTGTTGTGAAATTGGTTTTAGGAGTACAGAATTTGCCCTAACAAATACTTAGGGGTTTGCATTGATTTCTTTTATGAGATTTCCTTGCCACCTAATTCTCACCTATATATCTGTTCTTTGCCTATTTCCAGCAATATTTCCAGCTGTGACAAACAAGGATACCATTGCATTTCTTCACAAGAGAGCTCTCTTACAGTGATCATTATCCATTGACTTGGTGTATTGATTCCGGTGTCCCAAATCTTTCTGTTAACCTTTATTTTTAATTTACTAAAACATGTCTCCAATCTAAAGATTTCCTCTTTCCATCCCCTGACTTAAGAAGCATGTCAAATATGGAACATAGCCATTCATCATGTATATGAGCTGTGATCAAAAAAATTACGCTTTTTTATTTTTTAAATTAATATAAAGTAGTATTTCTATGATATGTCACTGCTTCAATAGTACATACTCACTGGTCCTGACTTTGTTTTTCTGGGCATTGTTTACACATAAGCAGTAAATATATTTCCTATGTAATTAAATTAAATAGGGGCTGAAATCAACACTAAGAAAAACAGTAGTGTATAAGGAGATAAGGAATCTTCAATATTGTCAGAGGACAGCAGATGATTATTACATTGAGAAGAAAAGATAGAAGCAATTGTACTGAACTATATTTCAGCTCTTTCAATGTTAATCATTCACAAAAGTTGCCAAATTAAATTCTTTAAAAAATGAAATGTTAATAAAATCAAGCAAACTATAGTTGTGAGTAATCAGAGGTATCCATGTTTGCACATAGTTTCCCATATGCAAAGAAATGTTTCAGCAGATTGTTATTTGTTTTGTTCTCTATGCTAGTTTTAGGATTCTCCCATAAAGAAATTCAGTTACAATATTTTTAATTAAGACAAAAAAATCATATTCATTTGGGAGAAGCAGATCGAAGATGAGGGTTAACCGCATTTAAAAAGAGAAGCTAAATTAAACAAAACCCAAAAGATATAGAATTCATTTAAGATATTTAAAATTATGCAAGCAAAGACAGGTTATTACAATTCTAATTACACACAAAGTGTATCTGAAAATTAGACATTTTTTCAAAAATATAATTAAGGGTTGTAACTGCATTACTACTGTTGCCATCTCAAGCTTCCTTTACAGCATTTAAAAGCACTATCTTCTTAGACAAATCCTTTACTTTTTTTGTGAGCATAACTCTTGGTGAGTGACTCTCTACCCATAGCAGAACACGTGTCCAACTGATGTTTTGTCTTACAGCATTTGATTCGTTTTATGAGAAGGTACACTAATTCATAATTAAAGCATTTAAAATTCATCTTGATATTGTTCAGTTTCTCTATGTAATGTATAGGTTTTCAGAAATTCATTTATTCATAGGAATAAATACCCTATAAAATGACCCAGGGACACCTGAATGATACCTGGCAAAAACTGACTAACCACAGGAGGTTATTTATAATTTTGTCTTTTCAGTTTAATAAGTTTTTAGAAGCAGGAATTGTTTTGCATTATAAACTCACAGGAAAATACTAGAACTGTGATATGCTAACACACCTTTGTGGAAATGAAATGAAACTACTGAGTAGCGCTTCACCTTTGTAGGTTACCCTAAGTAGAAATAGTACATCGCGAACAAAGTGCACACAGCACATCTCTAGTCGATATTACTGATCCAAAATAATAGAAAGTAACTTGCTTACCTGTCTGACACAGCATGCCTCAGCCATACATGCAAATTATTTTTTCACATAACTTTAAAAAAATATATCTTCATTACCCAGAATAAGCATTTGAAAGGCAAATATGCATGCATAGCATTGTAACATTCATACCATGGTACTTTGTTCTAACAATACAGAATCCATGAACAGCACTTCATTCTAAGAAATTGGTCACTTAAATTTCTTAATCTGTTGATTTCTTTAAGAAACAGAAACATTTAAAATAATGTCTAATTTAGCATCTAAAGAAATTTTTCGATACATATTCAAGATTTAAGAAATTATCTCCATGATTCCAAGGGAAAATTTTCTTATATCGGGAATTGAGAAGTGTGACCTTACTTCTCGCTGGTATTGTGAGGCAAAATATATGCATGTTATCTGTCTTTCACAATATACATCTTCCCTTTACAACTGTACAGTCTTCAAGTACTTGCAAAGTATTAAAGATAGCATTGATTTTGTTAAGGGTACAGTTTATGAAGAAAACATAGGATATCCTTTCTTTTCATTACAAAATCATGTCCATACGCTGCAAAGACTTAATTTTATGCAATTTGACAAAATCCTATTCCCACTGAAATCAACAGCAATTTAGACTGACTTCAAAGGGGTCCAAATTTTCATCTTGCAAGAAGACAAGTTAATTTATGTGACATTGCTTTTAGTTTATAGAAGTTAAGTCTTTGCATGTTTCTCTTATGTAGGCTTTAATAATCTTTTATTCCTGGTCCTATTTCCACAAAATGTGGTTTACATTTTGAGGATGAAAATACATAGAAAAAGAAGAATAACTTATTTTTTTCAGCATTTCAAAAAATCAAATGCCTGGAAAGAAAGCAAATGGAAAAATATTGTTTTGCCTTGGATACTTCAAGCTTAGACACAGCTTATTCTCAATTTCCACTGAGTAAAACAATGTCAATGAAAATTGAGGGCACTCAATAAGTTCAGGTTCTAAATCAACTGAAATAATACTCCTAAGACGAATAATGATCTTTAGTAGCAGACCATCATGAAGTTGTCCATATATTTATCTACATCGTACAAGGGTCACAGACATTAACTGGATGATCTACAGCTTGGGAATGTGCACATCTCATGCCTGATTCTCAATTAAGGCCTAAAATCTCTCAATTTATGGCTATTCATGGATTATAATAAAACAGCCTGCTTTAGATATCACAATTATCTGCAGAGCAACAAGACAGTTATGAGACTTAGACAAGGCAAATTTATAGAATCATCTTCAGCTTCCACTGGTCAAATATTTATTAGCAGTAAATGAGGTCTTACCTGTCACTGTAGGCAGCTGCAGTGGCAGTGGCAGGCTGGGCATACCGGTAGGCAGCATAACCACCCTGAAACACAAACTCATGCTCTAACTGGATTGCTACAGCACCTTAAACAATATTTTGTAAAATTTAGCAAAAACTGAAAGAGTACTGTCATGCTGTAAGTTCAGTTAAGGGGTTAAATACATCGGAAATATTTCAGTGAATCGTTAAGCAAAATCTATCACCACAAACTTGTAGTTAAGATTTGTCCCAGAGATCAGGAGAAAGCAATGAACTGTATTCATCAACGTAATTTTTTTTTTTTTTTTTTACAAGACAATGCTGTATTCTTCCACAAGTTTTCAAGTAACAATTGTTATGAATGAGGTGTATGTATATTAATAAAGCAATGCTGAACTTAAAAGAAAAACTCAGCCAATAATCAATTCTTTTTCGTACAAAATAGGATTCATCATGTCTGGTTGATTAAACCTATGAATTTGTGCACTCAATTAACACTTAATGTAACATAGGATTCCAATTTATACATAAAATTGTAATGAAGAAGCAAAATTCTCTTCTTCCATGAATTAACATTCAGTTGTATGTAACAGTAATTGCAGATGTTCAATTAAGCAAACAGGACAAACAAACACACATTTGAAAGGAATTGTGTGCAGCGATGCATTGATTATCAAACTGTGAAAACAGCAGAGCTTCCTGTTCAATGGACCACGGTGTTATATCAACCATTTCAAAATGATCTCAGCATGCCAATTAACAAACACAGGCCAGTCTCCGCAGATAACACAAACACGATTTACGTCCCAATTAGAATTCACCACCCCATAATCCTCTGGGACAGGGGACTTCTGTATTTCTTTTCCCACATTCCCCCACCTTAACAAAGAGTTGAATAAGAAAGTATCATATCACTCAGCTTTGAAGAAAATTCACTCTTTTGCTAAAGTGCTCACTTTAACAGATATATTTTTTCTTTTTTTTTCTTTTTTTTTTTCTTTTCCTTTGGAAGGCTGCATTCTCAGAAGATGCTGAAGCATGAAGAACAGGCTACGATTGTCAACCTTTACTGTAACAGTAGCACATTTTTACTGCAGGAACTTTTGTAGGTTTTCTATTTTGATTTTACAAATAAAATTTCATTCTTTTCAGAAAAGCAATTTCAACCTCTTTTACAAGCTATTTCCCCTTCTACTGCTTTGCTTGTTGGAATCGCTTTCATCCCTAACATGTGTAAACCTTTGTTGGTTTGCAGATTGGAAGCAGGTTGGTTTTGGAAATCAATCATTCAGCTGATAACGCCACGTCACCCTAAGAATAAATATGTGTTTTACATATACTGACAGCTCATTAGAAACTCCAGGCTTTGAACTGTCAGCTTCCTTGAGGAACATTCTGTCTGACTTTTTCAAGTGCTCACACAGACTATAGTACATTTACCTCCCCACTCCTGGTCAGCTCCCTGCCAGCAGCAATTGTGTCACACAATCAGCGGAGTAAGGCAGGTGCTTTCATAATACTATACATGCTTTCTCTGCTGCAGCAAGATGCTTCTCTGTGCAAGCACAGAAGCACTGAGACAATACACTTTCTCATTTCAGATCATTTGATTTTTATAAACCAATAGGAGGCTATTACTGTCAAAAATGTATAATAGGCACATATTGCTTGCAGTACGTGCATACAGGCAATTAGATGTCAAATAATGTCACCAAGTGCAAACTGAGCCAGTAAACAGTAAGGCTGAGAGGTGATAATGCAAGCGGCATACTTGGTTTGGCTTCTCCTACAAGGAGAATGGTGAGAGATTATACAAATTTATCTGTCCTCCCTCCTGGTTTTGAGTGATAAATAAAGCAACTTTTTTTCTTTTTTTTTTCTTTTTTTCCCCCTGAGTGCTGATATGAGGGACTACAAATGGTAAAAGTATAAAGAAGTTCTTAAACTTGTTTTCATGATCCAGTCCTGAAAAACGTGGGGCAGACTGCGAGTCATTCTGCAGCATGGCATGACTAGGCTCGCCACATGTACAACTCCTTCGCTTGTCCTGTAGTCCATTTCTAAAACCCCTTATTTAAATCTGAGAGCCACTTCATTTCAATCCAGCTATGCACATCATGACTCCCACCACAGTTCGGAATGGAGAATGGGCCACCAGGAGAAGTACCAATGTTTCAGTGTTCTTAATAAGGCAAAAATGAGACAGGCTGTTCACGTACTGGCTGGTCTTAAATCTGCAGATAGCAGGCTCTGTGAGGATTTGTTTTCTTCCCTTTATTTAGCTATCAGTAAAAATTGGTCAGTCTGTGAAGATAGACACTCTCTTGCTCCCTGAATATGTTACATTCCTTTTATGCTTACATTTTGATTTGCTTTCATCAATGAATTTCTGCTGAACAACGAAGCTCAACTCTGAACTTTATTAAGATGCTTTGGATTCAACAATGAGTATGACCTTTGTGAGAGTCCTGGAAAGACTGAGTCTAAAGCAATAAAAATAAAGAGATCGAAGTTATTGAATTTGCTTGAATTCTTCAGAGAACTAAAACGCAGGATGCATTCCGTTATCAGGAAAACAATCATTCCCTACCAGTCCATGTCACGATTTCATATTTTTGACATAAGCTATCATATCTTTACATGTAAAAAAATTCCTAAGCAAATTATTTTTATGGGGTTTGTGTTCTGCAGTTTTGGTGTGGTACTAAGTTTTCCTATTGTTTTACTTCAATTACTTCGGGAGATTTATCGTTGCAGCAACAAAATATTTGAAGGTACATTTAACACTGGGAATCTGATTCAAACCCCTGAACCCTAAACTTCCGTGACAACTTCTACTTTACAATTTTTCTCTAACTTTGAACTTGACTGATATCTTAGATGAGGAATAAATTAGTAATATTCACTGCATCTACATCTTGAATAATATATTAAATATTTATCTTCATGGCTTAGACTATATTGCAAAATAAAATATTTAGAAGCAAATTATGTAATAATTATATAATAATAAATAATAATTTTCAGTTCCTATATTTTAGAAATGCTCCCCACACGCACACACACTTTGTACATTCAAACAGAAAGTACCTGACTGTTATGCTTTAAATTATTACTTAAAAAATTCAGCTGAAATAATAAATTCAGCTAAAATAATGAAAAAATGCCAACTGCCTTATCTGTGCTCCCATATTTTCTACTTCCAAAACAACGGTAACACAATGTTACAGAAGCTTAAGTTGTCTTAAAAAAATTAAGAGTCAATACACTCACAGTCCAAATATAGAGATATCTCACTGGCATAAAATACTGAATGGGACAGTAACTGTTCTATTTCATGGAATATGAAGAATACATCTGATTTTGTGACAGAACCTGGAAAATACAATGCAACTGGTAGACTATTCTTATCATTTATACACCCAGAATCCATTTTCTCACATAATTATTTGAGTATTAGTATGCTTTTACAAGAGTCTACATTCAGCATGGTGAGTTTTTTCCATCAGTCAGTATGTCATACCTGTGGTAACTTATTGCCACACACAGGCTCTTGCAATACTGCTCTATAAAGAAACAGAAATGTAATGATTTGAGTGAGGAAGGAAAGAAGGATGGAAAGAAAGGTGTAGCAAAGGAATTTAGACAAATTCCCCAAAGCCGCTCATTACAATTTTCCTTTCAATGTTTTATACATCTCTGTGGCTCACGCAAATTGAAAAAGAGCAGCAGGATTCATTGAAGGGAATTGTTACAAAGAAATATTAATCAATTTTAGAAAGAGATTGCAGAAATTTTAGATAAGATACGATAAAAAGGAAATGAACAGGAAAATCAAATGCATCTGAATTTTTAAATAAAGTCTGTACATCTGTATTCAAAAAATACAAAGTATTTTGCGAACATAAAATAATCAAGGTTAAAAACCTTCTCTAGTATTGAAACTTATACCTGCCTTACTAGCTACAAATAGATGAATGGGATTAAAAATGGCATATGTTATACCAGGCCCTGCAGCATAGAGTAAATAGAGGTAGTCATTTCCTCTTCTTCCACTCATATGATATTGTTTAAACAGTATTTTTTCTGCTCACAGACTAAAAATTTGACTGGGAGAATTAAAAATTAAATATCCACCACCTATTTGTGCTGGCTCAACTTCTGGAACAGACCTATGTGAAAGGTCTATAGGTTATTTCTATACTGTGTTCCTAGAGGAATCTGCTGCTTCAGAGAAGCTCTTGGTAATATATCTGAACTGACACTACCTGTATAAATTCCAACCAAATATAGTCATCAGGATTTGAATGTCCTGTTTATATCACAAATAAAGATCAGAGAGATGAAAGGACATTTCATCACTAGATCTCAAAATTTTAAAAAGGTAACATAGAGCATTCCAGCACATAGAGCACTATGAGAAACAGCACACTGCTCCTTGGGGACTCTTTTGCCCTTGGAGAAGTAATTTCTCCACTTCTCGTTCTGTGTCTGTGAGTCGCAGGAAATGGCACATCTTCCTTTTACAAAACACAAAAATCTTTGGTACGTAAAAGAAAGACTTGAGTGCTGACTGAATATCCATGCTTTTCACATTAGAACAGCACCTTTCAGGGTATCTGATTGCATGGATGGAATTCTACCTGGTGTCAAGGGAATGTTGCTTAGATAATTATAGCTGCTTTTTCCTTGTGAAATAAATACATGCTCCACCTTCAATCCCATCCTACCTTGGAGCTAAAGGTGATGGCAGTAGCTATCAATAATCTCTTCCATACCCTTGATCACAAAAAGTACGCCTTATTCTTGATTGGCAGGTCAGAAAAAAGAAAAATCTTAATCCTATGTACTTATATGTTGTTGTAGACTCTCACCAGTTGCAGTATCACAGGTCCAGAATCCCAAGAACAGGTTAGAAAATCTTGCTGTGAACAATAAGACTGACTAATGTACATAGTTAAACTGTATTACCATGGGACTTCTGAAGCTGGTGATGACAGTTTCTCGTATTTCTTTGCCTTCCCACATTTTAGGTGTGGATTGAAGACTGACATGTTCTGAAAACATTCTTTATGGAAATGGTAAAAAAAAAAAATCGCAAACAGATAAAGCAGAGCAACGGTGTAGAGCTGTTATTCCAACTGCATATTTCTGCATCTGTTACTATTTTTGCTTCCTTTTGTGGAGTGTATTTTCTTATTTTCACAGGTGTCAATCTTCATTTAGGGACTTCTGTATTTGCTGGCAGGCAACCTTAATTCTCTTTTAATGACTTTTTCTCTTAGTGAATCAATACTTAATTTTAAAAGGTCTTCCTTACTTCCTAATCGTCTCCTTTAGTTTTCCTACTCAAAGGCACATTTAAAAAGGAATTCAATAGCTCAGCTATTTCAGAAGCATTATTACATTCCATATAGAACTGTATGAAATATAGAATATATGATATTACATCTAAAATCATGGCTGTTGATTTTTCATTTTAGACTGTACTTTCCACCTATTTTTATATTTCTATTCTCTTCTATACCTCTGGTTAGTATTCAGCTGCTCTGGCTATTTGCTGTTCTTGGTTCACCTTGCAGTTTTTAACCAACCAGTATCTTTCTGTGTTTTCTCTCCTTCCTCTCCACAAAATCTAGCCATCAAAGGCTATACTGATAGCTAGTTATGAAAAGAGCATGGTCCGTATTACTGCTGGTACTCCATGCAATCATACCAGAAGGAAAGCCACTTTGATATACTTGCTAATACATATTTTTGGCCTTGCTTTTCAGTACTGCGTTCCTTTTGATTTGCTTTCTGTGGTATTTTTAAGGTTCCTTTCTCTCCAATCTACTATTAAAACCTATATTGTTTGATTTTTTTCTCTCCTTTTATTCACAAAGCATTTGTTCTTTCACAAACCTCCAGCTCTGCACTAAAAATGAAAAGCTGAGTAGAACTATGTCATAACCAATTGGGATTTAATAAATAACTTGGTCTGCTGCGAACTAATACACTAAGAACTAATACACTGTGATTTGTAAGGTTTCTTTTGATTTATGCCAGTTCTTTCTCTACCTCTCTCTCTCCCTCCCCTGCAAATTGTTTTAGATGCAAGAAGGAACAAATGTGAAGAAAAATGAATTATAAAAGAAGAAGCTCTGTACATTATAAAAAAAAAAACAAACCCTAATTTCCAGAAGAATGTTTTAATTCTGTCAACTGCTGTAAATGTAAACATTCTGCTGCATTAAGAGAACTAAGAAATGCAATCAGACATACAAGGCTGCAACTGAGTGAAACCAGTACAGTCACTCCATTTTGTAATGCACATAAGTATTCCATCCAACAAAATTAAGGCTATACTAGAAAGTAGTAATTTCTTCGATATCTTCCTCATCGAGCTCACTTTCCATTTAGAAACAAAATGTTAAAGTCTGTGAGAGGGTGTGAGGCTACCTAAAAATAATACTGTCAATCACCAAAAGAGATTTTCCTGTTTTTCAGCAGCAGTGGGTTCCAAAGCTACGAACTGTTACATTAACATTTAGTTCCCACCTATACTGTCACATTAAGCAATCCTGAGAAAGATGCCTTGTTGCCTTTCAGATTTTTGGTTTGGTAAACTGAGCAAAATGGATGTCACATTCTCTTGACAGTTTGAAGAAATATGAAAATTGGAAACCAGACTTGAAGAAATTCCTCACTGTACCATGTATCCTATATAGCTCAAAAATTCTGCAGCAACGTGTTTGGGGGAGATGACAGCAGCATACTACACTTGAGTAAGCCTTTTGCAAATGGATGGTTCTCATGTGTTGTAAACAGGATGTTACTGATAGCATCACTAAGTACACAAGTACATAGGGAGACAATTTTAACCCATGCTAATTTATTTTAAATATATTTTTAATCCACACGAAATGAATTTTCAGGTAAGTATCAGCCTCCTTCTACCTCCATCAGAAAAACAAAACCTACTTCATTCATTAATTCAAACTGTTTTCCTTCTTAATATAAAACTTACTAAAAAAATTAACATCTGTTCCCTGGAAATAATTCCACAAAACTGCTGATAATGAATAAAAGGAATGTTTTCTAGCACTAACTATTGAATTTTTAATATTCATAACAATTTCAACTCATCCATCTCTTTGTATCTGAACAGAGGGAGTACAACAGAAGTACAAGTAAGTTAGAGAAAGCTGTCTGGTGAAACAATGAAATCTGTAACTTAGGGCCTGATTGCTTTATCAAATTAATAACAAATGTTAAAGATTACTGGAGTATCAGTGAAATACTTTACATCTACTCATCGGAAATAAGAATCAATTAATTGTCTAGGAAGAGTGAAATTCAGCCTCAAACCTGAAACCGCTTGCATACTCAGACAGAAGTAGCCTTATTGTATACATACACGGTAAAAACTTCAGTATGGGTAAGAAACTTAAAAAAATATTATTTAAAAGGAAATTGTTGACCAATGAGGTGAAGTAGGTAATAATGGATCCAGGGCTATAAATCCTTACTAACAAATGTAACCACTTCTTATATCATGAGCAGTCTCTATCCATTTTATTTAAATTGTAGTAAGTGGATTCTAAAAAAGCAGATGGAAGTCTACTCAGATTACAGAAAACACATAGCCATATCTTAAACTTACTATGTAATTAAGCTCTGCTATCACCATGGCACTTACATATAGCAAATGTTGTCTGGATTTGGGAAATCTATATCTCTCCATAAAGTATTTTCATACTTCAAGTATTAATACTCAGCTTGCATTGATTGTTAAAAATTAGCTTTTTGGGATTTGCAGAAGAATGTTTCTGCTTGGTTTTTATTTTTTTCTTTGAACTTCAATTTTGAAGGGACACACCCCTCCACACATGCACACACATTTTTCACATCTTTTTGCATTCATTCAGTATTTGATTGAAGAGTTAATTCAGCTCCACTGAACAATGATAGATGTAATGAACAGAAAGGTCTCCCAATGTGAGAGATATTCTTCTCAATTCTTTCTGACAGGCAAGGGATGGTAAATAGACAAAACAGAGTCAAGCTAGGCAGCAAACTTGTAAAAAGAATGACTCTGGTAATGTACAAGGACAGCATGCACATCAATGAATACTTACATAAATGTCTGCACCATAAAATCCATCCTGGTATACAACACTGCAAGGATGCACACACAAAGAAAAACATCCATATTAGTGCATTTCCACATGCAAATGCCACCAACCCCTGCACAGCTGAGGTTAGTCTTGTCACAAGAACAGAGGGAAGGGGGAAGGAAGGCACTCTTCACATTGGTTAAGGAGGTTGGTATTAATTATCAGAAGTGAAACTATACTGAATACAACCTCTTCTAAAGTATGCCAAATGCTTAGTCAAAGAGGGTAAAAGCATGGCAGGACTGGAAAATCCTTCTTGTAAGGGTTTTTTTTTTTTTTTTTTTTTTTTTTTTTTTTAAGAAACCACATATTGGCAGCATTTTTTTTTCAGTGGGACCCTCCTACAATCAGTTTTAATATATTAACAAAACGCTGTCTCTTGAACTACTACTTTCGTGTCCTGCAATTATGTCAACCCTCTGAAACAAAGCAGTAGTTGTCATTACTTAGATGGAAAACAAAACACAGCATAAGTTTATATGGTGAGAGGAATGTGTGAAATAATTATACTGGTGATACTCTAACCATTGGGTCAAATCTCAATACCTCAATGTACACAGAGATGAGAGTATTCATAGGTATTGCACTGTTGGCTTGATACACATTTCCAATAGTGACAACAGGTCTGTTATGAATATCATGGTGCTACTCTTATAAAAAAAGTATTAACCTTCCTCACTTCATCATTTTAGAACTTTGGCAAGGACGTCAGGGTTCTGAGCTCCCCTGCAGTTTTGGCTGGATACATTACTACTTATCTGAAAAAATGTAGTATTATTATATTGCTGTTAACAGTTTACCCAGAGACTGCTGCATTTCCGCTAAGATAAATTGTCAGTGTAAATAGTTCAAATTTTAGATTCTAAACCTTTCAGGATAAATGACACAGCATGACAAAGATAGTTTAAATGATTACACTAAATAAAACTGGAACCACACAACAGTGGCCTACCAATTACAGACATTACGTAAGTCCCCCAGTTTTACATTTGGCAGTTCTGCAACTTAAAATGGGTATTTCCAACATCAGAATCAAGAGCTAAATATGAGAGCACACAATACGTTTTTTGCAACAACACTTTCAATTTAGGAATACTATTATCTAGGAATAATAGCTACTACCAAGTTGCTAGCCTAAGCTGTTTTGCAATTCCAAGAATTTTCATGTCAGAAATATAACTGATCTATTGAGGTCAATGACCAAAACCCACAGGGCTGAGCTGCTATGTCTCTTAAGTCAGAATCACTTGAGAAACTCATAAATATACATACATACATGCACACAAACCACACTGATAAAACCACATTGATGATAAAAGTTTGCTATGGAATAATAATGTGTGAAAACTCAGCTCCACTTAAATCAGAGTGTCTGCCATTCGCTTCAGTAAAGTCAGACCTTTACTCATGTATTTTTCTATTCATTATGTCTGCAGAGCAAAAGATGCCAAACCTGGTCTACATTGGTAGCTTGCAAAGAGCTTGCTACCTTCATTTTGGTTTTGATATTCTGATTATTTTAAAACTTTACATGTTTTTCTTTTACCTGTTTGCATGTAAGAAATAAAACATTCCGCATGACTGTGAGGTAGAAGTACAAAAGTGTGAACAACATGGAAGGAGTCTGATGAGATGATAAACAAATGATACAAAGTTTACTGAAGATGGAGGCCTCACAGCCACATGAGTGGTGCTGGGAGGAGGTGGAGGAGCTCGGAAGGAAGGAGCGAAGTTGAGCCTGGGAAGAAGGGGCAGGGAGCAGGGGAAGCTTTTAGGTTCTGTCTTTGTTCTAATCATCCAACTTCATTTTAATAGGCAATAAATAAAATTAATTTTCAAGTCATGTCTGGTTTGCCCATGGTCATAGAATCATAGAATGGGTTGGGTTGGAAGCGACATCAAAGATCATCTGATTCCAACCCCCATCCCACTAGACCAGGTTGCTCAAGGCTTCATCCAACCTGGTCTTGAACACTGCCAGGATGGAGCGCCGGTAAGCAATCTCCCTGTCTTTATGTCAATGCTAGAGCTTTTTCAGCTTATTTTCTCCCCATGCACCCTTGAGGAGGTGGAATGAGAGTCAGTGGGTAAGGGTCTGGCAGCCAGCTGAGGTCCGCCCACCACAGTACATAAAAACATACTACTTTCAGTTATTATCGAACATTGCTATTCAGAAAATAACGCTTTCGAGAGAACAAGTGTCAGAAAGGGGAACTTTTTTCTTTCTCCTCCTGGTGATCCGTGGACATACAGTGAAGATGTCACAAGATGAATCGGGGCTGATACATTCTGAATTCCCAAACGGAGCTGACTGGAATCTTGGACACGTTACTTTGTTCACCTAAGCCTTCCTTTTACATATAACGCTCAGCCATGTACAGACAGAACCTGATTTTGAATTCCAAATATCCAACTAGTTGATAAATATTATGCTGAAGGAAGTACCCAACACTAAAATGAGACATGAATGCATGACACTGTCATTAAACATGGTTAGTACTAAGATGAAGTGACAGAATCAGGCAAATGAGTAAAACACTCCCAAGCAGGACAACATGCACTATGAAAAGATAGATGATTTTATCTTATTTCCTCCAAATGGTCTTGTAGTATGATAGTGATGTTAAACAGAAAACCTTCCGCTTCTTTTGAAGTTTGAAGAAAAGTAATTCTTCACACTTCCATAGATTTTTCAGATAATATTTTCTCTATTCACTGTCCTTGTCATTTGTTGACTCCTGTGACTGCATCTTACCAGTGGAGTCAAATGTATTTTCTAGTAAGATCCTTCATCAGAAGGACAAAGTCTAAACCACCAAGAGCTGTGTTTTCCTCTTCTGCTTTTTTTTCCTTCAGTATATAATTTTCCAAAAGGTAATTTCCTTGGCTTATCATCTCCTTTTCTCTCTCTGAAGCTGTAGGCAGAAAACAGATAAGTCTCAAGCATGGGAAAAGCCTAAATGCATCACACAAGGACCCATCTCACCACAGCTCCTTTACACTTTATGTTCAAAAAATTGTCTCATCAGACAGATAAATCTCGAGTTCCTTGTAAACCAACACAAGGTCTGGAAATAGCCACTGAAATCTGAATTACTTCACCCAGGAATGGATGATATGCTAATGTGCTACTTGGAGGCATTAAAATAAGAACAACAAATTTGGGGGATTTATTCAGTCGAATTTTATGATTTTATTGTGCAAAGGAAAACTCAGAGAAGAGAGAAATATCAATTTAATAGGAAAATGTGCATCTAAATAATATCATATGTGGCAACCAATTCCTGAAATTATTTTTCTATAAATATGAAACTGTTTTCTCACCAACTATTACACATCTGCTTTGCATGCTTTAGCCGCTTTATTTTAGACTCTGTCTTACAATCATTTTTTGTAACTATATTAAGATAAACTCTTTACTAGTTTACATTCCACCTTTCTAATATCCTGGGAGAACTACAGCTGTCTTCATTATCATTTTTCTGTCCTCATCTTTCAAAAGGATTGGGTTGAATAATATATCAATGACACAAGACAGTTCTTGACTGCACAAACCTTAGTTTAGTAACTTCATAGCAGCTGAGTATACATGGCCCTCAGCCATACACACAATCTGCACAAGTTAACATAAATAAGCCAAGGCAGATTAAGTGCATGGAGTGATTGACTCAGTGTAACAAACGGGCATCACAATCACGATTTCATTCATTGCAATGGGAGTCATGGTTATACTTTGCTATTTCCCCTCCATCACAACTAAGAGAATCCACCTGAGGAACAAACGTTCTCTGTTTTCTGATTGCTGGTAGGGTGGCCTTCACTGTCCTACACATGTTTTGCAGTTTTTGGTCTCGGAAATCACTTTTTATATGAAACCTTAACAAAACAAATAGTAGAAGGGATGCAACTACAACCTTATTTAAAATAAATCAAAGATTGAGAATTAAAGTAACACCTTTTGCTGCTGTAAATATAGAACTGAAACTCTTGTATGAGGCTGTTTCAATTTTTTAGAATGTTCTCTAATTCCAGGTTCTTGTCTTTCCAGTTTCAACATTTTTCTGCCATGAACAAGTTATATTATCTGCTTTGGAAAATTAATTGAGGGCATTACTGCAGAGAACAAAGCTGGAAGACATAAATCACTATGCACTGGCAAAACACATTTTTTGTGTTCTGACAATTGCACATATATACAAAGCGCTTCCAATGTAAGAGGAAGTTTTTGTGAGCCCAAAGAAATGTATTGGAAAAAACCCATAACCAACGTAGTAGATGTATTATCTCACATTAATTATCCTTCTTCCTTAAATTCAGAATAAGTTGTTGGAAAATAATGCTTCTTTTTCATTTTACATCAGTTAGAATGTAGCACTTCAAAACAACTATTTTAACAAAGGGGAACAGTTTTTGAATAGTCTCTGTTACTTCTCCTCCACCCTCCCCAACTTCACAATTTTATCTAGGGTTGGGTTTTTTTTTTTTATTCTTTTCAAAGAGAACAAAGCATATTGCTATCCCCTGTTTTCCCAGGAAAGACACCAGAAGTAGAGACACAGACTGAAAGCTAATTCTCTGTTAGCTTCATCAGAACTGGAAGGAGTGGAGGGGAATGTAAAGACAAAGTCATCACACACTAAACTCGTGAAGAATTTGAGACAACTGGTTCTGGAATAGAAGGGCTTCTCATTGGTTTTACTAATACTGCTTATCTACCACTAATATCTGCTGTACTACCAGATGTACAGTGACACTGGCTCTTCTTGACAGCAGTATAAAGATGGAGCATCATATTCATAATGTTTTACTATTTGGTGAATGATTTTCAAGAATGCTGAGGTACTAGCTGCTGCAGAGTTCAAAAGCAATTCCAGGTAGCAAAATCAGATCACCTGCTTTCAGTAGTTTGCCAAAGAGAACAATAACTGCTGCTTCTTTCTTTTGGCAATGTAGGTACTGCCAACTGCATCCAAAATCTGTCATAAGAGTACCATTACTATTAGATTCTGCTTTATTAGGCCATTTCTTACATTATCAGTAAGCATTTTGTCAATGAAATAGATAATCCTAGAAAGATGCAGGTCAAGCCAAGACACTTTTTTACATCACTTTTTTTTTTTTTTTTTTTTAACTATAATTTTAATTTAAAAATTCTTTTGTACATCTAGGACCCAGGGAGCAGCCTCCAAGAAAGGTTAAAGAAGCAGTAAACTCAAATCCTCCCACATGGAAGCTGTCCCAAGAAAGAAGGTACGAAAGAAATTTAGTCAGCTTAAAATAGTAACTGCTTTGCTCCTCAACCAAGTCACCAATCTTACTATGAAGTTCCCAGAGTGTGCCCTCGATAGCTCATAGCCCCCAACTACATCCTCCCATACTGACAGGCTCTGATCTCTGTGCACCTCTCATGCCAAACACAACACAACCATCTCTTGCTTCTCTTCCTCCTGTAGCATAGTGTGGAAGCTGAGCTCTCCATGAAATGTAGATCACCAAACTCTTTAAATTTTGGTGTTCAGTTTTCTCACAGAAATGAAGCTTTATTCCCTCATTTCAGTTTCAGTAGGTTTCTATGGTAAATCAATGAATTATACCTACAGAGTTACAAGTAAGCTGTATGTTGTAGTATTTCAAGGCACTAGAAATGATGCCACAGATGCTGAAAATGAAGTCTTTTCCATGAGCTACTAAACAAGACACTATCTCAAGGGATTAGTGAAATGCCTCACTCGCAACTAAAGGATCCATTCATTATTTATGTAGTGCTAGATATCTCATGAACAATGATTTCATATTTAAATGACACATTTTAAAGCATGTGTGCTGTTCCTTGATTTATAAGAAAACAATGGCCTTAAATATGGCTGTAATCAACAATTTTCGTCCACCCTAGCAAAGTGTGCCGTATTACTGTGTAACAGTGACCGAACAGCAGAAAAGAGCTTTCCATATGAATCACACTAACTTCTTTTGACTAATGACCACAAGATCTAGATTTCCTTCCAGCCTGGGACTTGTTGCCATTTCTCTAACTTTGTTGCTAAACAGTTTCTAAGAAAAGGTCACAGTCGGAATCAAACAGTGAACAAGAACAACTACAGATTCAAGGGAGAGTGAATAGAAAGAGGTTTTGCTACAGAGCAGGGAATCCTGAGACAGTACTGCTGAGATGAACTCTAGTAAGCAGTACAGACTAGTCTAAGAAACACATTCTTAGGTTTACAGTTGATTTCCAAATTTAAAGCAAAATGATTCAAGTTTCAGTTCAAAGACTTTGTAATATAAACAAGTAAGTGTGAGGAGGATTATTTCAGATCAAGTATTATATTTTATTTCAGTAATAAGCTTTCTAAGCTTAATGAAATAAAAGAAAGGGAAAAAGGTAATTTCAAAAACTTCAGCTTTATATTTCTTTTTTATGTGCATTCTTTTTTAAAAAGAAAATGAATATTTTTCTAACTAAACATTGTTGGAATTTAATGTAAATTTATAATTAAAATTATATCTGTCATTATAGAAAATAAATGTGGTTTAGGGGGTTTTTAATGATTTAAAATATTTTAGTATGAAACTGTTTGCTTGGCTCTAAGGCTGGACTCTTTCCTTGAGTGAAAAATGAGAAATTGCTAAATGAATTGTAAAATGGCATTCAAAACTTTTTCCATTTTTCTTATGAACAAATGATATTCCAAGTTGTTTGCTTCCTTCTGCAAGTTGATTTATTCTCTGTGATCTCTTTATTATCTCTGTAATTTTCTTTGACTCCTACTCCCATTGTGACCAAAAAAGACGTTCTTATAATTTATTTTCATTGATTAAGGATTTTTTCTGATGAAAATTCCTTTTTGCTTCTTTGATAGGTCAGAGTACATAATGGGTGAGCACAGAACAAAGCACTGCAGAGATATTCCAAATTGTACTATGGTATTGGTGAAGTTACTAGCACAAGATCTAATACATTGGGACAAAGAAATTATTTCAGAATAAAGGTTTATTAATCCAACTGTGGATCAGTGCAAGAGAAGTATGTATTATTTCTGCACTGACTCATGAATTACAAAAGTTGGAAATTTGTTTTGTGCATCAGAAGTCGGTGCCTTGTTATAAAGCATAGGTGTATGCACAAAATTAAACCTGACTAATATCTGAACTAAGACCGATCTAAATTAAGACAAAGCTTACTAAATCAAAACTGTTGCAGAGTCAAATCGTGTTAGAAAACATACTGACCGGCACGGCGAGCCCTAGATTACCAAGGGTTCATCTCAGACAGCTGCAAGTCATTAGAACAATGAGAAGATGTGACTTCTTTGTAATGCAATGCATGGCTCCCTCTGAAGTGAGCTTTAAGGACAGGTCATGAAGGTAATAGGTGAAGATCTGCCCACCCTAAACTGTCAAACCATCCTGCAGAAGAATGTAAGAGTGCTGAGCTGACCTCTTGGAACCCAGTTTTGAAACACTGCTGAAACAGACTGCAGCGCAAAACTTTGGTGTCAACTTACAACAGGAGTTCACAACACTTACACATCTAACTTACTACCTAAAGATGCTGAAAGTAAGCATTACAATTACATGAAAATATAT